TTCAGCTGTGCTCTGTTGGGATAGCACAATCCCAGAGAAAAAAATAAAGACATAAAAACCAATCAGGATAGGTATTGATTGCGCATCCACACATCTCTGCACTGACTTACAGCCAGTTGAAATCAAAAACGCCAAAGTTACCCTGGTGGTCTCCAAGCACTGACAGACAGAAGCTTAAGGGAGGAATGGGGACAGTGTTAACTGGATGCTGAACTAGACTGGTATGACCTCTGGGAGGAAAGCCACACACCGAACGGTTTACACAAGGAAAACACAACAAGATTAATAGGGGGAGGAAACATATTTTATGAAACCTACATCTATAGCTGGGGAAAAAAAAAGAAAGGATAATTTTCAGAGACCAAATCCTTCCTCAAGTCCCTTAGGACCTCGTGAGTATGCCCAAAAGCTTATCTGTCCCTTTTCTAACTCTATCAATTGCAATCTCATAAAAAATACTACCTCTGTCTGTAAACTTTGTCTCACTTACATCCTTAGGCCACCAGCGCTATAACAGCAGTACTGCCAGCGGTCTTCGTGCCACACATTCTGAAGAGTTTCATCATTATTACTGTCCCTCTCCTGATACCTAGGGTTCTGTGTGAAAATACAGTCCTTAGATGGGTCTGCACCAATGCATTGGGAATGTCATCACTCCCTGCTAGCGGCCAGGCTCGTCCAACACAGGACTCCAGCCACCCAGCAGAACCACTGAGCTATTGCACCTGAGATAGCTTGCACATAACCTTTGGGTAACTGGGAACAACTGCTTTAACTTAGCAACAATTAGCTCCCTATGGCAGCTGTAGGTCTGCCCACAAGAATGTTGCTTTCTGCAGAAACCACTGTCCCAGAGCAAAGCTGATTTCCAGTGAACACGCTACATATTCATACCCCCTTAGGAGTTCTTAGACCACCACAAATAAGCAACGCTGTACCGAGACTTTTTGGTCCAGACTCTCTTCATTCCTTGCAATAAGTGATGACGTTTGCTCATGCTTTCATTTCATCTGTTGGCAAGGAAACATACACAGATCGTTCCTGCTCTTCTCTTTAGTCTTTAAAGAGCTAAGTAGTACTGATGTTATTTGTTTACTTATAGGAAAATAACAAGTTTTTCTCCAAACAATTCTTTCTCACTCAAAACAGACTTTCCCGAAAAATAATCCCCATTTTCATTAAAGCGTATTGCATTTTAGACTCCTTTAAGCAACCTGAGCAATTCCATTAGAAACTCTGATACAAGACTTGCTTGAAAAATACTTTCCCCAGAATTCCCCGTGATTTATTTTTACCATAGAATTTCTCCAAAATATCAATAGACTAGATTCATACATAAAACAAAATACTATCCCTGACCCCTGGGTCTTACAATGTAAGCTCTGCACATGAGAATACAATAGCAGTTCAGGTAATTGTCAGGAAGTCAAATCTTATAGGCAGTTGCAGGTTATCTCTGCACCTGAGTTTAGAAAGTGATACTATCTCAGTAGCAAGTACTTCAAGGCACCAATAAGGAAAGGTGTGGTACAGCTATAGAGAAAGGCACATTACAGCTGTAGAGAAAGTATGGCTCCGCTACTGCACAGCTATATAATTGAACACAACTGACACTGACCTTAATGGCAAAGTTGCTCATCAAATTAGTAAATAAATTCAGATATATTCCAAGCTTTTCTCACAGATAAATGACCTGCTCTGCAAGCTGTATGAATTTTAAGTATTAACCGTGAAAGATGATGATACTGGCTCCTGGCTACATCAGAGCAATCCTGTGAACTGAATGGAAACTTATACACACAACAAAGAGCAGGATTTTCTCTTAATGTTTCAATTTATGCAGAATTATCCAATCTTAGTGATGTGCTAGGCATCCTTAAATAACTATTGATCAATCACATAGAAAGTCAATCAATAAATTCAGAGTGATCACCTACTGGTTTATTCATAAGAATTCTTCCTACTCTCTCTTTAATAGCTATTCCTTCCTTCCTTCTTCATTACCTTTTATATTTTTCATCATGTGCTATGTTATTTATTTCCTTTGCCTTGTAACCAGTCCTAGTCTTTTCAAACTCTCTTCATGGGCAAGTTTTTTTCAAGCATAGGATCATTCTCATTTTCTTTCTTTGCACTGCAATTCTGCAAAATCCTTTCAGAAGTGCCGCACAACAGCAATCCACATGATAAGGAATCATTGATTTATAATGGCATTATAACATTTTTCGTATTCTTCTTTCCCCTATCCATTATGCACCATAGTATCACATTTGCTTTGAGTGCACAGTTACATAGGCTAATGCTTCCCAAGAATCTTACATTACAGGCCTGTTCATCAACTTGAGTAGAATGGATATTCACTAGTAAATAACTGTATGCAGATAATCTAAAACATTGATATCAATAGCTGGGATTCATCTTCCCTAATTTTAGTTGTCAAAAAGTTAGTCATCTTCTCTAAGCTATACTTAAGTTCCTTCTAATATTAATGAGAAAGGTGTATTCAGAGAGAGACCTATCTCATCCTGCAATAAGAGCAATAGGAGAAGATAAATTGCCCCTGAAGGTTTTGATCTCTCCACTCAATTTAGAGGAACACAGACTACTGGTTTAGAAAAAAAAGCTACTATTTTCACGACAAAAGTTAAAAGACACTAGTTCCTCTCTCTACTCTAAGACTTTATTTCTGATTTTTTCCAGCACAGACAAATCAGAACCCATGCACCCATCCTTTATGCAGCTATTAAACTTCACCAGGTTCTTAACATTTAATTTTATATTTATTTATTCATCTCTGTCTAATATTTGAAATTCAAAAGAACTGGCTCCCGTATTTCTGTCCAAGATTATCCAGACAGAATGATATGCATAAGACATTGCACACACAGTCAATCTGACACATCCCATAATAGGCAGCTACATCACATGGCTTGTGAGACTAATACATCCAGGAGATATCAGCACTCCTACATATGTACCAAGCAAACACTCTGCATAGCCCATCGACCATATGCTGGACACGGTGGATTTAACACACCTTCAGCTCAGAAAGGTGTGTGCTGTGAATGCAAAGTGTCTGTGTGTTACTCGAGTACTACATGGATTCAATCCATGCCCAGTTTCTGCAGCCACTTATGACAGGCTGCTGGACAGTCAGAAATCCTGCAATTGTGATGCAAAAAAAAAAGGAAAAGTGATAGACAACCTGTGAAAGGGAGAGTCTCCTGCCCAAAGCAGCAGCAATGTTCAGTATGTATATTTAACATTTCTTAGAAGTGTGGGTATATGATTTTAACTTCAAACACTCATTAAGCTATAATAAAACATTGCTAAGGATATTCAAAGCATTTGAAGTATTATATATACAAACATGCATGTGTTTGTATACACACACACACACACTTTTTTTTAACTTGAAGCAATTAACAGCTATTAGTTTGAGCCGTTCAGTGCTAATTTGAGGCAGAGGAATGCGCATACCAGGCAGATGTCCTCACTGCGAGCACAAGTGTCTAAACAGAGCAGCCTTGTTTTAACACAGGTGGGAGCTGTGGAATGAGAAATGTCCGTAAGGCCTTACACTAGCCATAAAGAATGTTCCACAATACCCTCAGCCATGGACATAAAACACCAGATTAAAAGCGTCTCTCTAAAATACTCCTTGGAGAGTAGAGCATTTACTGATTGGAAAGCCATTGCCTCCAGTCAAATCATGACTTAACTAAGTTGCAAAAGTTACATTCTCAGTATATTCTAGCAGCAGGTCTTCCCATGATGCCAAAGGAAGCAGTAGCAGGCTGCATTTCACGGGGAAATGAAGGGAGCTGTGGCTCCCATAGCAATCGGTCATCTCCAGAGCAGCAGACTCTCCTACTCACAGGAGAAGTCTGCCAATGTTACTCAAGTACATGCAGTTTCCACATTGCAATCCTCCAAGGTCATATGGATCCAGTCTTCCACCTAATCCCAGCACAGAATTATCAGCCTTCCCACTTAAATTGCCTTTCCTAAGGACAATTTCACAATAAACAGAGCAGAACTTTCTTATAATTTGGATGCATTCAAGAAAAATGTTCACCCAAGAAAGTAAAATAGGAGCTTAACGTAACCCAGTCTTACTCAAAAAAGGAAGCATATGTTTCTTCTGTTCCACCTGGATCCAAGCCCCATCTCATCTCATCTCATTCCCCCTCTTCGGCATTGGTGACAAGCAGTTAACATCACCATGTCTGTAATCTCTGTCTTCTGAGCTTTCTACGACCTGGAATCACTGCAGCCTGGCTCCCAGTTTTCACCCAAATGGCACATCTTCAGGAAGTGTTCTTCCATACCGTACTACTCATTCTCACACTTCCACAGGTATGAAACGGGGAGAGATGGCCTTGTTCCAGCCAGCCCGTGTATTCTCAGAAAATCTCAAAAACAAGTAGTTTCTCATTCAATTTCTTTCACTTTCTCCCCATCTCCAAAATCATCATCAACTAGCTGACAAATTTACAGCCATCTTCCACTTTGAAGTTGCACTGTAACATCTTTTTCCAATCGCTCTGCCATTTTACCTCCTACTGCAAATCTTTGTTTGCTCCTTTAGCATTACTTGACTGTCAAATCAGCATAAACCTTTGCACTTGTTAAAATGATCACTCACACCTTTCCTTTGTTCTTCTCTGTTCTCTCCAGTTCATCACTAGCTTCTTTGTATTTTCCAAGTAGCCGCAACAACAGCAAGTTAGAACTTGTGTGAAACTCATGGACCCTTATGACTATTGATGAATGAACTTTCAAAATATATCAGATTCACTATGAGACAAGTGATGAGCAGAGAGATCAACCGTTTTATCCTAGACCGCATTGCCAATCTATAGCAGGCAGATATAGACTCCCAGCTCTTACAACTTGCGGTCGCATACACTTGTCCTAAGAATATGCCTCCTCTCTTGCACAGAACAAATACCTCGCGCAGGCAGAATTCGTGTCACATTCATATCAAGTCAACGTACCTGGATGAAGATATATTCATCCTGAACAACAAGGGAGCTGATGTCAATGGAGCGCGAAAATGGCCCACTCCTTTTGGTCTCTGAGCACTCCTGGATCCGACAGGTCAAATAGTGGGTGTCTGTAATGGGAGAGTATGTACATGTGAGAAATGCTCAGGCAAGAGCCTGCTGTTTAAAAATGTCATTAGCAGTTTGAAAGAAGGTCTCTGAAGGGAAGTCTTAACCTCATCTCCAACTAGTTACACGTTATTGCATGATCTACCTCCAGCCTTTAAAATTCTAACTGCTCTCTGGAGTAAGAAATTCATCACGCTTCCACACTCAACGTTCCCTTCCCCATTGTGCAGACATCCCTCAACAGATTGGAGTTCAAACCATAAGTGGAGGGTACAAATCATAAATGCATCAGAAAACTGATGATGAGACCATATGGAGCAGAAGAGGATTTCAAAAGCCACCCAGGTAGAATTTATCAATTCCACTGCCCTGCTGGGAATTATATCCCCATCCTCCCCCTGAAATACCCTAGCCTTGAGGACTGGTTTTAGTTGTGGTAGCAACACACAATGAAGAAAAAAAGTCCAAACCAGCACTATTAAGTTCAACTTATTTTGTGGTGAAAATGACAAGCATCTCCCAAAATTAAGTCTTTATAGCCAATATAGGCTAGGTATGAAATAGCATGACTAGCTGAAGAGTCCCAACAGTAGTTACATGCACTGCAAGAGGCATCAAATGCTTCTGTCTAGAGAGAAGATGAGAAGACCATCACACTAATGGGATGCCTTGTCAGTCCTTGACATTGCTTGAGAGAACATGAAGAAGACATAAGGCAAAGGCAGAAATACAGAAAGTTGCTCGGAGTGGCAAGAAGAGACATGCTCACTGCCAGCAAGTTGGCAGGGGTTATAGGGGATTAAGCATTATTTCACTCAGGCTAAGAAAGGATCTCACGAAACAGAACAATCAAGGCACTGTGTCTCTGGATGTATGTAATCTAAATATGCCATCTCTGCATTTCAACTGCTCTTCTGAAAACTGCAAATTAGGGAGAAAATTAAAATAAAACTAAGATGATGGCTGCAGTGATAAAAGGGTCACGTCTTTTACACTGTGGCACTTCTACAGGCTTCTTAGATTCACGCATTTGTTCGCTTTTCTACAAAGGGTGAGGACAGACCATGAAGGAAGAAAACAGTGAGTTTATGAGGGCTGGGGTGAGCCTAGTGCAGTGATTTTGGCTCACAACTGCACCTTTTGACAAGGATCTTGTCAAACTGAGCCCAAAAGGATGAAAGGGAAGTTTAAAAGGACAGTAACTAGCCTAGCAAAGCTGCTTACAGGATTCTCCATCCCATAAAACTTGCTATTGTCCTTAGTCTGTGTCTTTCCAGTGACAGCAAAATGTGGTTCAGTGGAAAGCACTGGGAGGCATGACTGAAATCCTCTGACACTCAGCTAACTGCCTTCCCAGACTCAAAGACAAAATTCACAAACTGGCAGTTTTCCCTTCCATAGCCTTATCCCACCAACAGACTCTTAAGAATGCAAGAAGAATGCACAACAGAGGCATTGATAACAAGAATAATAATTTTTAAAAAGATATTGTCTAAAAAAAGTCACAAACTACAACCAAGCTTTAATCTAATAAAGGCTCATGATGAGTCACATGACTGAAGGTCCACATTTAAAGGCTGCAGACGTGGCTCTGGTTGAGGCACTGGGAATTCCAGGTTAATAAGGGCTACATGGCTGATTCAGAACAGTTGCATAGGTCTGGCAAAGCAATGAAAACTAGTCCCACAGATGATGCTAAAGCAGCAGAAACTGTTGCTGATGCCAGCTCAGAGTATCTGGAGGTAATTAAACTGTATGGTGAAAAATATCTGACCCAGAGACAGTGCCAAATAACTGGAGTATCAGAGTTGTGCTTTCTCCCAGTGTAAAATAGCAGCAGCAGCAGAGAAGTCAGACTCTCAGCTGGGATAAATTAAGATTCTTCATCAACTGACACATACACACTTGGTCCAGAGCTGCTATTTACCTCCTCAACATTAAATCTATGACATCTTTGCAGCGGATAAAAGCAACTTCTCAGAAAACAAGATGGTCTTATATACTGCCATGCTACCCAAAGAGCACAACAGCCTTGACTTGTTCTTTGAGGTAGCACTAAAATTAGGCAGAACAAGGAGGAGAGGTCAGGAGCCGTAGTTTTAGAAGCTCATTCCCTCCAGTACATTCTCCCACACAGTCGCGTGGATATTCTTATCCCTCCAAAAAGGGGATAATTTGCTGCTGCTGAGTGACAGAATGGGAAGAGGAATAAAAACCTGTCACAAATAAATGCAAATAAATCACAAGCATTGACACGACAACTAGCTTCCTGCCTATTGGGAAATGTGTCATTTTGAGTGTGTTACGCCAGCAATCAAATATACTCAAAGAATGGCACCTGATTAATATTCACGGGAAGTTGGTGGTGGGAAATGGGGGTGGCTCACTACCCATTTTCTATTTAGTCTTTTGTTTATTTGTTTTCATATATTTTACAACACAAAGCCTATAAAAGAAAACACAGACGTAAAAAAATTATCTTCAAACCTGTCTGCCTTTGGACACAAAAATAAGTTCAAGTCTTGCCTTGCTTCCTGCTGCCCCACAAAAAATGAAAAATAATTCCCTTTAAAATATGTTAAAAAATTAGGTGAAAATATGACAGCACGCAGTTCACATTTGTGTGTGACTGGAAGCAAGAAACAACTCCAAGTCCGTGCTCAAGCTTCTTGAAGGATATGATCCCTTCATGAGCTACGGTCCCATTTGCAGAGCACATCATCCCCTATGTGGAAAGCACAGGGCCCCTCAACAAAAATGTCAATTAAGAGAGAATGGGGCATCCTAACTTCCAAGCTGTTATCTCCCTCTTCTCTGAAGGGAGTTAAATTTTCAACCCTGTTTTGAACATCCACAAAGAAAAAGGATGGCCACCCAGAGGGGCAGGTGGCATGTGTCCAAGCTATGCCTTTAAAGCTTTGCTTACCTTTCACTGGGAGATGCATGCCTTAAGGGAGGTTTGCTTCCATCTAGGGATTATTTCCGATTTATATATCATCCCATGCAACACCAGAATTAGGAGGTTTGGGGTTTTGGTGCTCTTGGGTTCTTTTTATTATGTTCCACTGTAAAAGGAGTTGAGAAGAGCTCCCTATTTCCTAGACAGCCTCAAAAACTTCTCATGCTCATAACCCAACACCCAGCTACTTTCTCAGCCCATCTGTGAATGAGGCAATATGGACATCAAGCAGTCTGGAGGGTTTGCTGCAGCTCAAATCCCAACATCCATACCTCCGCACAAACCCTTCCCACGAACTTATCTCACTTAGAATTTGAGAATGGCTTTCTCAGATGTGCAGCCATTTTCCGGTTGAGGAGCTTGAAACACCTCCCCATTGCTAATTAACATAGTCTCCCATGTTGAGAATTTGGAGTGTATTTTTACCCTTTTTAGAAGTGATAAAACTGAAGCAATTTCTTGAAATTTGCAGTGATAAACTGGTGAAATAAGCCAAACTACTAAGTCTCTTCTTTGCCCGCCAGTCACGACAGCTTTGGCAGGAAGCACGAGAGGCTCCCTCTGGTGGGTAACACCCAAAGATGTGGGTGCCTGAAGGGAGACGCTGAAATAGTCAAACCTGTCACTGTGCTGAAGGCTGCAAAGGGCAGACCTATGTGCAGGTTACGGTGACTTACAGAGACACAGGACAGCAGGGCCTGCTCCTCCTTGGCAGATTTAACAAGCCAGCTAAAAGCAGGCATGGCCGGCCAGCATGGCTAACGGGGAGAAGGGCAGCTGATGGAAACAAGTTGCATTGGCAGACTGGCTCAGCTTAAGTCAGGTCCTGGTGCCAGGCAAGACTTAAAATCATAAACTGTCAGTGAAGGTTACCATGGGAGGGGGAAAAAACTAGCTGGCCTTGACAATTTTTCCCCCAAAGGAAAAGAGGATCTAGAAATGTAGACAGGACTGTAAATTACTCCCCAGGAATTAGTTAGCCTGTTTTATCTTTCTGGTCAGGTTTTTTTCCCTCTTTTCCCTTTAATTAAAATACTGTTTATTGCATCATATCTGTGAGTGGGGAGAAGATTATCTCACTGAACATCGGAAAGTTTAATATATCTTTCCCAGGAGCGCTGGTGGGTGCTTGTGTCAGTGTATTTGTAATAGTTCCCTTGCATCCAACCCTGTCCTTGCTGCTGCCTATTACACCCAGGCAGAAGGTACAGTGCCCAAGGCTCCTACATATTTTTATAATTTAAAAATGCAAGCCTACATTATTATTCTGCTACAATAGCTCTGCCAAGATGTCGAAAAAATGTGAAAAACTTCATCTGCTACAAAAGACAGGAACAGCTTGAGATCAGCTGGGCACTAGAATTAGCAACATCTTGGAAATATTTAAGGAGCCTAGACACTGGGGCAGATGTCTTTTCAGAGACCCTACCATTGATAATGACTGGACAGACAAAACCATGGGGCAAGACGTCTTGGAGGACAGACACCAGAGCGGTGAACAGGACTTCCACCTCCCTGTTCCATGAGCTTGTTGATAGCCCTGACTCATTTATGGATGAATGAGACTCTAACATGCCCCACCACCTGTTCCCAGACACAGAGCATATTTTATGCTCCAGTGTCTGAATCAGTGTTAGATAGGTTCTTGAGTCCCATTACTGCTAAAAAAAAAAAAAAGAAAAAAAATCGTCAAGTTCAGAAGTCTAATCCTAATTACCACTTCACTCCCCCCCGCCATTGTTTGTTCTTTTTTTTTAAATAAAAAACATGGAGGAAAACAGAAGAAGGGGAAAGACAAATGCCCCCTCTAGAAGAATCATGTATTTTTCAAGTGGCCAGGGACACTGAAGGCAGGGATTCTTGTCCCTGAATTGAACTGAGCAATGGGAATACTCAAATCTATGTCTGTTAATGCATCAAATAAGTGACGGAGCCACCAGGCTGAGCTAAGAGGCATTAAAAAAGCCTCCCCTTCTTTCTCCCCACTACTAAGGAAAACTTTCATCAGAAACTTTCTGTCAAGAGGAAATAACTGCAGGGACCCATTTTCCAGCAGGTGTAACTGCCTCAGCCATTTCACTTAGAGCATGAAGGCCCACTTTGGCTACAGAGCCAGCTAGGAGAAAAGTTCAACCTCCCATTCCTAAGTATACAGAGCTGTACCATTTCACACCAGGTGAGGCTATAGCTTTGAGGCAGTCAATGTTTTGTAACACAAACTAATATCGTTTTAAGCCTTAAAAACTCTAATTGGAGCAACGCAGTTCTTTTTGCTGTGCTTGGCTGGGAGAGGAGTCATTTTGGTGCTGTCCCTCAGCGGGACATGCCAGCAGGGCCAGCACAGCCCACCAGGTCTCGCCTGTGCCTGCTGTCTGCTGGGGTGATGGCTTGCGATGGGCCTGTTTTGCTGACACTCCTGGTTTAAGTCTGACTTTCAGTGAAACCCTCAATACCATCAACTGCCAATTTCAAAATGCTGAATTTATACATTAGACAAGAACAAACCCCTGAGCAAACAAGACCTGAAGGAAGACAGTTGTCTGCAAACTGGGGAGACATCTTTCAAACGAAGCATCTACATCCTTGACACATCCAATATTCAAATAGCTGGGTGAGCAAGTTTAAACTTCGTTTGAAAACAGACTCCGTCAGCAGTTTGTTTGCTTACTTGCTTGGGTTTTTTACTTGCTTTTGGCCACTTCTCCCAGCATCCCTGCAACAGCACACACAGCAGCAAAGGCACTGAAGAAGCCTCCCTACCTTGCCCACCCGCCTGCCGGCCTGTTTTGCTTTTTCCACATATTCAACAAACAGCTGTCACCCCTGAGCTTTCACTGCCTGGTTATTTATTCAGCTGCCATCACTAAATAGCAGTGGGAGGCCAATGAGTGATTTTAGAAGATCCACAGCCTCAGAGAAGCCACCCTGATAGACAGGAGCTTGTTCACACAGCATCTGGCCTACGCAGCACTTGACTAAAATGGAGAAAAGGTTGCAACCAACAAAAATGAGACCTTTTCCTCCCAGAAATCCTCTGCAATCTCAGTCCTATCCTGCTTTCTACGCTGTCCCTGTAGTGTAAAAGGGACACATGTCCCACGCTGTGTAGCATTGAGCTGGGGTAAACCTGGTTCCACCCCAGGAGCAGATGCATGACCATGCTGTAGTTCCTGTGTGAAATACCTAAAACAGTTTGGAGAGAGTGGTGGAAAAAGTCAACTTACTTCTAATATTGTCTTCTTCGCTGGAGGTTAATTACATAGGAATCCATTCTACTGCAAATGTGGCTAGATTCATTTCAGTGAAGGGTTAAGAATTTTTTTTTTTTTTCTTTCTTACTTCAGATCAAGGCACCTTTTCAAGGCCTGTAATGTTTTGGTATGGAGCACCTATTCATACATCATAAGCAAAACTGAAAAATCCTTTCACTATGAGACAAAGGGTACCCGGGGCATAGCGACATTCTGGCCAGAGAAGAACTCTGACTGTAGGCGATTTCTCAAATTCCCAAGTACAACTTAGCTGTTCTGAACACCCCTGGAAATGCACAGAGGCTGTACTGCACAGTGCTGGTAGCCCAGCTCTTTATGATTCATGTAAAATTCATGATACTGAAACAGCTAAATAGGAAACAGAATAGGCAGCTCCTTAGCCCAACAGATTGTGTTTCTGCCCAGCCTCTACACAGACAAAAGCCCTGCAGCCTCTGAATTTCCCCCCAGGGGCTAAGGATAAGACTATGCCTCTCATCAAACCCCATGATCCCCATCTTTCCTATCAATTAAAATGTAAATGGGGAGACAAAATGAGTAACGTGAATTTCCATTCCCACTCTATCCTTGACTCAAAGTCCACTTCAGCGTTGACTGCAGGCACTCACGTCCATCAGCTGTACGGGCTTCCATGTGCACAAGGTCAGGTTCTTTATCCAAACCAGTCACCGACCTGGGGGAGAGAGAGAGAGAGAGAGGGAGAGAGACAAGGCAGCCAGTTAGATAAAAAGCTACAGTCGGACAGAGAGAGCGTGAAGGAAAGCAAACCAGTTCAAGTCTACCTCGTGACACCTGGCATGTAAGTCCCTACCTCCTACCAACTTGTGTCCTTTGTGTTTCTACACAGCCCACTCCCAGGGGCCATATACTAACCTTTAAGACGGACATCTTCCCAGGCGCTGGTGGGTGAACCTGCCTATCCCTTGTCTACAAGATCAAGACTACAATGATCGTTCCCGCGGCGGCAAAGCGAGCTGGTTCCAAGATCCAGTAAAACCAGAGCTCTGTTTTAATGCTGAAGGAAAGATGAGGGCACAGCAGCCTCATGTTTATAGACAGCAAATTAAAACGGGGTTTTACTTGGCTGAATAGTGACATGAGAGACTGAGTTTCCTGATCTGCCCCTCGTTTGCTGGGCAATCTTGCTATTGTTTAACTCAGTTTCCCCATCTTCATAAGAAAAACAATGATGCACATATGCATGGTGAAGTTCTGATAAAAAAAATGTGAGAAAGTATTCATTATTCACCCTATGGTCCCATGCCATGGTCCTTGATAATCATGAAACAAGGCACGATGAGTTTGTTTAACCTCTCTAGTTGAAACCCAAGTCAAATCTTCCTGTGCATTGTTATTTTATTCCCTAAAAATATTTTGCAAGGCACATTACAAAGATAGTTTTCCTCCTGGCAGAGGGAAAGTCAAGCCCAGAACAGAAATGTCATTATTAGTGTCCTAGGTGATAAGAATCACTGGGAGATGAACATTTAGTCCTAGCAATGGCTGGCAGGGGGAAAAAAAGAAAATCCATAGTTGTCCACGTGATTTATGGAGCTGCTTCTCCTGAGTTAACCAAAGGGTTAGATTAAAAAGGGACAACGACAAAAATCAGTTTCTAATTTGGTGGAAGCTGAATTTGATATAGTAGATTGTAAATAATAGATTCCCTCCGAGCCAGCCAACATTCACAATTCCCTAATATTCTGGAACGCTTTTATCACAATCTTTTGCTGCTTTCATCCTTGGGGCATCAACAGCTAAAACATTTAAAAAAAAAAAAAAAAAAAGAAGAAGAAAAAAAGAACAAACAAAACACAGATGTTCTGATACATTTTTGTGGATCTCGCAAAAAAACATAGCAATTGAAGCAATGACAAACATACAAATGTGCCGGAGTTCAGCTAAGATCAGCCAGTGCTGCAAATGCCAAAACAACTACATTATGACCCACTGTGTAGGTAACTGAAACTGGCACTGCTTGTTAACTAGAGCACCGCATCAATAGCGAGTCCATTCACAACACATTGTGAATTGTGGCCAAAAAAAGCCAACACAACAAAACAAAGCTGCACAGGCAGAGCTTTCATCATTCTACTCCTAGTGAGAAATAGTCTGCTCCTTAATCGCTACCATCAGTTGCAGGGTGATCCCACAAGGAAGAAAGCGCTGTTTGTTATCGGTAAGGATGCCAGAATGGGCCTGAGTCCCTGTGACCAGGTAATTATCAGGGTCAAATCTTCCGAATATCTGGACACAGTTAACAGTGACGTAGGACAAATAGAAATTCCTTAAACTGTCAGTGAAAAACATTATGGTGTGCAGCAATGTTATTTCCCAATATATAGAAAGAGCACACATCTTTCTAGTCCACAGCAGAAGTTTTCTGCCTTTTTCCCATAAGTAGCCCTAAATGCTATAATTTCAGCTGTTCAGCAATCATGACCCTCGCCTATGACATGCCAATAGGGACAGAGGTATGTGCTTACCAACATATCTATCCATCACAACTTTATCAAAAGGAGTGGTAATTTCAGCACTTTTAGTTCAGACCGGGAACACATTAGGGACCTGCCCCACGGCCCTTCCCAACAGGCTTCCTACTTAAATCCAGCCTTCACCCTGGAGGCTGCACTCGCCAGGCTTCCTTCTGGAAGCCAGACACCAGCCTTTCACCCAGAGCTGTTTTCTGTGTCCAGACACGACAATGCCAGGCTGCCTCACCTGCTCCCCACGACACCTCCTGGGTCCCTCCCCTCCAGATGGAGGGGGCACTGTGCCCCCCCGCAGCAACGGGGCAAACCTACTCCTGGCCCAGGTAATAAGAAACATCAGTATAAGGCTTGCCACAACAATATCCATTTTAAGAGGGACTGTAATTCGAAAAACCTAAGCATTTCCAAACAAAATCCAAAATACTCACTATGTGTTTGCATACACAAGCTCTGTGGATCGACTCCACTTATAATGCCTATTACGTGAGCACCAGGGATGACAGGAGCCTCCTGAAACATGTCATTCTGCTTGAATTTCCTTCCCAGTATCATCTACTTGCTTCCTTAATTAGTTTTGATAAGCCTGATGGTTCTTTTCAGAACAACTACTACGATGAAAAAAGGACCAGCATACAGCACCGCCTAGTACTCGTCTGCTCACCGAATACCATACTTCAAGTGGAAAAGCTCACAACGCAATCTCCTGCAACCCAAAAGAAAGACAAGCTCCTGTTATCTGCAGGCAGATAACAAGCCTGTAAAGTAATGCATCGGTCATCCTTCCTTCTCCCAAGCCAAGTCGCTCTGTTATATCAAAGACTCTGATTGCAAAACAAATCCCCAATCAATGCTGTTTCTTCATGCCTCAACTCACGTCTGTTCCCACTGGCAAAGAACACAGCTTTGCTTTGCTGTGCTCTGACTCCTAAATATGGGTATTTTCAGTAAATGGTCTCTCATCATTTGTCTTGAGAAGCTTTACATGAAGAATGCAAAAAAGTTAGGCAGTGGAAAGAGCAAGATGTGAATGCAGGTCCGGGAGCACAGCTGCAACAATGCACACACGACTGTAAAGCTATTCCTTTACCCCATGCAGTAATTTCTCCGGTCTTGAGAACTCACTACAACAACCTCTCAGGTCTGGCAATACAAGAGCAGCCACAAAACAAGAAGAGACACCTTCACAGCCTTATATTTTCTCATACGTTATCTCTCTGAAGAACATTTGGAGGATGCACTGCTCAAAACTATTTGAGCAACTAAAGTATGATGAGGAGAGGTGTCAGCATCCCCTGACTTACCATTTCCTTTGCATGTTTTCTAAAGCGAAGTGGAGTCCACAGAGTGGGGCGGCTGGGAAGGGATTTCATGGCTCTCTGGCTGACAAACAGCTCTATTTCAGAGGCTTACAAAGGCAAGAGTATTTAACAACACTCAGAAGCCTAAGCTCAGCTTGAAAACAGTTTTCCTGCCACATGGTCACACCTCAGGCTCCATGCACAGCTCAGCTCTGTGTTTTGTATGTGCACAAACTCCAGACAGCAAAAACTAAACCAAGATCCACAAAATGCACCCGTGCGTGCTGCTGCCTTGGATGGCCGTGGGGAGGAAAAAGGGCACTCTCACTGTGAGAAACCATGCTAAATCAACATCCTCCACCATCCGTATTCATTTATCATCACTCGGATTAGAAAATGCTGAGAGGATGCAGGCAGAAGTGACACGAAAAGTCATTTTTTTCCAACCTGCTGACACGTTCCCTGACTGCTGCAAAAGCAGTAGAGCCTGCAGCAGTATTGCAGCTGGTGCAGGATCATTGGACAATTAGGAATTCAAACTACCTCTGAATCCCGTTAGGAAGGAAGCAATGGTTACTTTTTCTCTATCTTCTGCTGCTGCTTTTCTTTTTTGTTCTCATAGTAGCTCTTGGTTTTCACAAGATCTGAAAAGAAGGGAGGAAAGAAGAGGATTGTGTGTCCTTGAAAGCTGAAGGATGGATAGGACCCTGGCAAGATCCTTATCTCTATCTTGAGGGAAGATCGTTGTGCATGGATGCACATTTATTAGGCCACTCTGCTGATATTTCATCTCTGACCAGGAGGGAGAGCAAGCAAGAAGGGCAAGGAAAACACAATATTCTGCATTGTAAGTAGCTATTCCTGAAATGTCTCTATATAAGACAGTATATAATTCAAAATGAAACATGCTAGCATATGCAAAGAAAGGAAAAAAGGAATACACAGACTCTCCAGGTTACCTGCCTGCTGCACACCTCAGCTTATTGTTTCTACCAACTCTACTGTCTTTCCATGGAATAAACCATTTTTGCATGTTTTTCTACCCATTTTCCAGACATCAGGCATTTTAAAATGAAAGACAGCATTGAGATTTAGCTACTCTGGCATCTTAGATCAAGAATGCTGAGCAATTCAGATGGCCTGCTGTTGATCCTTGCTCCCTAAACCATCAATAGAGAATAGGAGATGCTCTATTCCTCCATCTCCTAGACTCATCAGCTTGTGGGTGGGGGTGGGTATCACTGGACATCAGCAACATGGGTGTCGAGGATTTACAACAAGGTAAAAAATCAGGTCAAACTTGGTCTGGAATCTGCTGGGTTGAGATTTTTGCCAGGGTTTCTGACCAGTCGAGATGGCATTCAGCAGCTCTGGCTTTGCAAAACAAAATCAAGACTTTTGCAACGGATTGAGGCTTTCCCAAGATGCCAACTTTGAAACTCATTTTTGCAGGTTGGGATGTCAAACTGAAGGCAATTGTCACTGCTCATGTAAAGAAACGGAGGAAACAGATGGAGACTACTTAGCAGGATGTTGTGCAGTAGATAAGGGCTAGAAATGGGAAAGAACAAGGCACATATATTGTGCAATAATATGTAAAGGGGGAAAAACACATCCTCTTGCTGCAGGCAACTGCAGTCAAATTAGTGGATGTTGCCAACTAGTCTGCTGCAATTTTGATTGTATCCTGCCCCAGAAGTGAGTAAACACTTCTGTGTGGTACCCGGCAAGCAGCATATGGGAATAACTCATTCAAGCAACAAAAAGGCCATGTCTATATGGGCGGACGGGAGCAGAAACTGATCCGTACTATTCCTGCTCAACTGATCTGGATCTTTTCACATAGCGCTGTTGCTAAATTATACATACCTTTCCAACATTGG